CGGGTAGTGCCGGTTGGTGCCTATGCACGTTTGGGTCCATGTTTTAAATAAAAAAAAATTGTATTTGACGCATGGAAGTGAGTCTGTTGTGATTGTGGTGGCCAAACTCGGGTTTGAGCATTCTGTGTTTTGATCCATAGCGCTGGTGCTATCGATAATGCCGAGACCAGAGCCATGGTATACCCGGTTCTGGACAACGTTTGTTTCAGCAGTGACGTAAAATTTTCGTAATGGTGACAGATTCAGCCAACGGGAGAGGTTGTAGCAGCTTTGTGGGACAATCGGAGGCAACGAAGTGGTGATAACGCTCCTGCTGTTCACGTGTTGGAACTCCCTCCCCCCTTCCAGACCCTGTCCAGTTTTCTTCCCAGAAGACTGAAGAGGAAAGCTATGTGCTGTACACTTCCGACCTTTATCACATGTGCATGGCAGCGGATTCTGGGTGTAGTTTGACGCCGTTTCGATATAGCTAGCTGCTTGTGGTAAGTTTGACTATACTAATTCAATGTGTGCCTGGCCGTCTGTGCTGTGAGCTGTCCTATCGCACTGTGCCGTGGACCTGGACAACAAGGTCTGTGGTGCGTACCTCCCAGGCAGCTAGTGGCGGATCCATAGGGGAGAGGCGGTAAGGGTGATCCCCCCCCCCCCTTTGGGGGACTACTTTCAGCACAAATTAACTACAGTATGTTATAATAGAGCTGTTGTGATAGAAATAGTAAATAAAAATGCCCCCACCTCCCCGAAGGGAATCGTGAGGAAATGCATTGCGTAGCGTCCATAACGGCGTTGCGCACGTGAGAACTCGGCGATAATTATAGCGCGGGAACAGAATGACGACAAAGAGACAAAAAGGACACGTCTCTTTGTCGTCGTTCTGTTCTTGCGGTATAACTATCGTCATGTCATACCAACTAGCCCAAACTGCCCCACTTCTGAGAACTCAGCGTTAGAAAAAAAAACGTTTTCTTTCTCTTTTTTTTTGCACCGTGCAGCCAATAGCGCTGTTTGCCGCGAGTGGCGTTTTTCTGTCGCGAGCGTTTTCAGCTCTAGTAGCTGGCGTGCACGGTTAAAATAAGTGTGCGCGTTCGCAGTTGTTGCTGACAGCCGCCGACGGCGAGGCGTGACATGGTGAAGGCTCCGGTTGCTAGAAACGCGCTCGTCCACAGCGGTTGCTATTGGAGAGGGCGGTGGATGGATCTCGACGGACGCCTGACACAGCCCGACTAAGAAATGCATTTAAAACGAAGTAATGAACACGCCCTCCCCTCTCCGGTGCTACTCCAAATGACTCCCCCCTCTCCCACGTTCGTTCTGAAACTTTAAGCGTTAGATGCTGTTGGAGACACGACATGCTTTGTCGTTTCTTGCGTGCATTTTTCTATTTATTCTTTCGCCGCATAGTGTTCATTGTCCACCACGCTGCGATGCTCTCGAGAACCGTAGCGCAGGAAGTCTGTTCGGAAGCGTTGAATGTCAAGATTTTGTGACGTCGGGTTTTAGTACACTCTAGTCAGCTCAGGCTGCGGAGTTCGCGCAGCTGTTATCAAGACCTTGATTGTTCCTTGAGTGCTCGGACGGAGAGCGCCATGGTTTGTTAGAATATACAAATTTGTCTTGTAAAAAATGGTCACTCGTGAAAAATCTGCGGCCTAGTTTCCACAAATCACTCATTCGCAGACTGGAAGTACTCGACAACACTTCTATTGCTTTCTTGAAGCATGCAGCTGACCCATCCTCAAACCAGTGACGTAGCCAGGGGCTGGCACATAAGTCCTCGTGCCCCTACTAGTCTATAGGCGCTATACCCCTACCTCCCGCTAGATTGTTTCCCCATGGTATTCAGAGCAAACAAATGACCATTTCAAGTCCCCCCCCTCCCCCGAAAAAAATGTCTGCGCCCCTGCCATGTGCAGCAGAACTGGAGGATCTTCCGAAAAGTAATAAAGTGAAATGCAGTCCCCTAGTACCTGGTCAGGTGCTCACCCTATTCTGAATAGTGTGCCAGATGATGCTGCTGGAATTGCGCACGCGAAGATTCTTTCTCTTGTTGTTTCTTTTTGCGCGTAATTAAAGTCTGATGTCTATGAAATGTACTTAAGACTGCAGTGTATCACTGGATAAATAAATATCGAGCTATGTGCCCGCTCAGTGCCAGATCTCTTGATTGGAAATTCCCCGAGCAGAGCTCGAATCTCTATTGTTCTATAACTAGTTAGGCATTAGGAGCAACACAAAAGTGAACACCCGCAATCGAGCCAGCCATCGAGCGTGGTCCGGCTTCCACGAAATCTGTGCGGCTCGGCACTCGGTCCCGACCAGACCCGTTCTGGCTGCCAGCTTGCGCACTTTTGGTGTGCATCTGCTGCGTAGCGTGGCCCAGGCTGTTCTGGACACCGGTTTCAAAACAGTCCCGGAGCTGCAAACACAAACAAAGAGGGAATAATAATAGCTCCTTCTAAACCAGGTGCCATGATCGAGCTAGCTCAGACGCGTGAGGGAGGGAAGCTGCGAGGCACCTTGACATTGACGAACTCGGACCTTTACTACATGTCAACTTCGATGATGGCGCCGAGCTGGGCATGTCACGGCAGAATTCTGTTTTTTTTTTCTTTTTTAGTGTGGAAAGCTTGTTTCATGCTGTGGTTGTGCAGTCGTTTATATGTGCGGCATAACAAAAAACAAGGGAGGGGGGAGGAGGGGCCCCTCCCCCGGCCTAACACCTCTGGGTACGTCAGTGGCGTACACTTCGGCCTTTATCGAATGGCCCGGCATTCCACTAGCACAATAAACGTATGAGTACAGTTGTCCCCTCTCGATAATTAGCGGGGAAGGAGAGAATTCACTGCTGCGCCCCCCCCCCCTTTTTCCCCACCCCTGTTTCTACATTTCCATTCTGTCCCCGGGAAAGTAGGAAACCGCCTTTGTGGAGGAGCGCGACAGAGCCATGACTGGAGTACTTTTGGATATATTACTCTTCTGTGGCGCCTCCATGCCGCGATGGAATTGCGCAAAAGCTTGCTGGTGTTGCTGTGTGGTCAACGTTGGCGGGTTGAGGTCAACGTCCTAAAGAACTCGGCCTTTGTTGCCACCATACGCGTGTCATGTATATTTGCCAAAGAAATTATGCTCATATAATCTTCAAGCAAGATCTTTCAATGAACCTATAGTGCCTAGAATATATCAATGAGGCAGTGTCTGAGACAATACCCCAAGAAACAGCCATAGTGTGTCGTACGAATACAATACTGTATGGAAAATAGCCTTTCTCAGAGTATTGGCTGGCCACAAATCTCAAAGGATGTGCTTCTGTATACAGCAAGTGCTAAAAAGACGTCACGGCCGGATGGATAAATGCATAGGCGTACCAGCCGGGAGGGGTGGGGGGCAAGGGGGGCGCAAGCCCATCCACCGAGAAAATACTGGGAGGCTGAGCCACCCCCCCACCCCCATTTTTTTTTTTGACAGTGGTCACTCTTGGCTGAACGCTGTGGAAACGAACAAGTAAGGTGTAGGTTTTACAATAGTGATTACTCAATTATGTTCCTACGGGAGAATGAAATTGTTACGAAACTACGTTACAACATAATGAAATTTTGCCGAGACATTACAGCTTTGATAATTTTCATTATATATATATATATATATATATATATATATATATATATATATATATATATATATATATATATATATATATATATATATATATCTATATATAATATATAAGTACAGTGTCTTCTGGAAATATACTACCTAGTGTGCTGAGCGCGTGCATTCCGTCCGTACGAGAGAGGGTGGCCGCGCATGTGATGACTGCACTCAGATGCCGCAAGCGGCGCTGCGTGTCGAGAGGGTGCACGAACGCGTGAAATTCCTCTCGTCCTGTTGCTATCTATCTATCTATCTATCTATCTATCTATCTATCTATCTATCTATCTATCTATCTATCTATCTATCTATCTATCTATCTATCTATCTATGTATCTATCTATCTATCTATCTATCTATCTATCTATCTATCTATCTATCTATCTATCTATCTATCGTTTGTATGGCCTACGTCTGGGTGCCCTCACAATCACCCCCTTAACTTAGGGTCTTCGAAATACTTTGCAAGAAGAGCCAAATGTTCGTGAAACGCCAATGCTGGTTCCAGTGTTAATTTCTTGCACATATTTAGCGCCACTTCATAATCTTTCACTTAATAAAAAATTACATTAGAGTCACCTTGCATAGCATCGATTCCAAGGTTACGTGGGATCTGCGTCTTTTTTTCTTTTTTTTTTTTGCGGGCAGTAGTGGATGGCGAAATGTATGCCACGAAATGACCTTCATTTGGTATTGCAAAGCGCCAGTACTGTGAAAGCAATCGAGTAGTTTTTATACAATAAAGCTTTATGTAAAAAAAAAAAAAAACGCCCCGAAAATGCAGGAAAATAATAGTTGGCCTCGCGTGGCTCGGCCTCCTGCAGAATTCGCAGCGCTTGCGGAGCGCAAGGATTGAACGCAAATCACGGAGGAAGGAGCTTTTTCCTTCCTCCGTGACGCAAATGCACCCACTCGTACAGCAGCGCACCATGCGGGCGCTGCCGGCAGTCATCAGCTGCGGGGCCATCTCCAAGCCCGTGCTCAGACACTAGGTAGTATATTTCTAGACACTGTACTATCCACGCAGGAAGGAAAGGAACCTTTCCTTCCTCTGTGGTACTAGCAGTATTGCAGGCGCCCTCTAGCAGAGAAAGGTAACACTGCTGCCCTAGAGGAAAGAGCTCATTTCTCCAGTTTCAGTAGGGTCTAAGTCATCTTTCTATGCGCATTACTTCTACTTTTTTTCATCAATACTCTAACCGTCTCTTACTTGCTTTTATTGCGCACGCGTTTAGCTTTCCTAGTTTGTCCTTAAAACTCAAAAACCGTAAGTTCCTGTATATTATTCCTTACTTCATGCTAGCAGTATTACAGACGTTCTCTAGCAGAGAAAGGTAACACTGCTGCCCTAGAGGAAAGAGCTCATTTCTCCAGTTTCAGCAATGTCTATGTCATCTCTCTATGCGCATTACTTACCAGCGGTTCGGTTGACAGCGTTGGTATGTTTTGACAAGAGATTCCTTTTCACCTGAAGGAAATCATGAGCAAATCGCGCTTACGATGTTCATCGCTTTTCGAAATGATAGCGGCGAGTGGCCTTTGCCCAATTCCGTTGGAAACCGACCTTCTGAATGATTCGGAGCCGTGTGTGAGTGTTGGTTTTCAGCTTTCGGTTCTCGCATGGTTCTCTCCTTTATTCGCTGAGCTCCTATTCGCTGAGCTGCCTTTCTCGCTCATTGTTAATTGTCAGTTCCGGTATCTACGCACACAGAAGGGAGCTGTAAATAACGAGACGGGCCCACTATTAGTATCGTTTTTCTTTGGCCAATTATAGCGCCCAAACTTATTGCTGCCAAACACACCAGCTTGACGACAACAGCAAAGTCGTTATTTCGACGTGCAACGCGCAGTGTGTATCATGTACTTTATCTTTTTTTATCTCCTAGTTTGGATGGTTTTACATCCACGTGCAGTTTCGACTGATTAAGCTTTGTTGTGTTTTTTCTCTTTATAGTCTCTTACGCAATCATTCGATCGTTATGATGAGCAGCCAACCAGCAAGTTACGTCTAAAGCGACATAGAAGTGTGGCGATTTGGCCTAGTTGGTATGACATGACGATAGTTATAGCGCGAGAACAGAACGACGACAAAGAGTCAAGCTCGTGTCCTTCTTGTCTCTTTGTCGTCGTTCTGTTCTCGCGCTATATCTATCGTCAGGCTAAAGCGACAGTTCGACTCCGAAGAAAGCGTATGTAATGAGCATGCGTTTCAGACAACGTAGTGGTCACTGGTCATCATTAAGTGATTTTAAAGGGATGACAGGCCACCAATGAATATTGACGTGGTGAGCATAGAGAGGTAACCAGAGTGGAACTAAATATATTTAATATACAAAGATGCATATCGACACGTATAATCAAGGAAGTACCATGACCTGAATTCCGCATTTAGAATTGTGCATTATATCAGGAAGATTGAAGTAGTTCAGATTAACGTAAAGCTATTCTCTGTGCAAACGAAAAGTTATATGACTATGCAACCCCACACATACATTCACAAGCAGCTGAATTGCATTTGCACAGTGAGAGCCACCTTCAGATCTTCATAATCTTTATTACAGTATTAAGGTAGCCAATTGAGTATATATACTCATGATTATATACTCATGAATTGAGTATATATACTCATGACCTATATACTCATGATGGCCTACACAAACGAGATGCAAGCCTAGAAGAAACTACATGACACAAGCACTGTAAAGAACTGAAAGTTTTATAAGAAAGCATGGATTACAAACGGGAGGCCGGGCACGACTTCACCCCTTTGAAGAAATTTTCTGGAAATCTTATCCGTCATGGAGCTTACACACGCATGTCCCAGGAAATGTAGAGAACACTAATACATTGCCCCCCCCCCCCCCAAAAAAAAAACTAGAGCAACAACACCAGCTCTTGAAAATTTTTTCTGTTTGTATGTTCCGGGAAACAAATTTCAGCCAGCTCATTACAGAGCAAACATTTCAATGCAATGCAAACTGGATTTTTCAGACTCGTGCTAAGGGGGGGGGGGGGTTCACAAAGTATCGGACCTAACCACCTCATGCATTGGCCACCTAATTATCGCTTAAGAATTAGCGAGCGTTCACTTACATTCCATTGAATTGAACCCATTTCATATTGAGCTCAACGAAATTACCGTAGGCACAACAGTGGTACATGTGCCTCTGTTGAGAGTGGCTGTGATGCCGTAGAAAAACTCTCAAACTTCCATTTATACTTGGCATAGTAGTGCAACATCAGATTTTCCTCACTAGTGCTGTTGCTGTAAGACTTGTACTAAACAAATAAAAGTCACAGAGAAATGAGTAGGAAGACATGATATCAGCTTAAAAAAAAACACGAAAATTGGGTGAGTATGTACTGATCCATAAAAAACTGGGGAGTACAAAGCACACAAAATACACTACAAAAACTAGACAAGATGAATTATCACTACAAACTTTTTGAACCGAGTTTGAAATGAGCAATCATCTTGTGTACTTCATGTGTGGTATTTTGTCCACTGGTGCTCCCAATTACCTTCATTGGTATGATTTCTCTAAAGTGTTTTTTAGAAAAGTAAAGGTGATGAAGTGAGTGGTAATGAACATTTCTCATCAACATTGCTAATTTTATTTAACAATGTTGATGAAATGAATCCTTTACAAGTTTCTGTAGTTAGCTTTCTCACAAGAGGACCGTAAGAATGTGCTGGCTCAAATCACTGCACATTCGTCGAACAAGAAAAAATGTCTGTGAGGCTGAGGTTCCGATGAGAGGACTCGTCTTCAACAGTTGAACCGAATGTTGCATGTTTTCCTCGGGTGGCATTTCACCTGGCCCACTGTCTCCTACCTCCAGTCGGGCGGGACCACCTTGCCTATGCTCGCTCTTGTGTACGAAGTGCATGCCCTTCGTTCGCTGGAATGCAACCTAGCACATTGCTTTTTATATGTTCATGGAGCATTTTTCTCTTCTTTGAATGTAAGTAGCTGTACAATGCTTGCCCAGTGGTACTATGGCCTCCCGTTTATCAATCATTGGGGTTTAATGTCCCAGCACCACGATATGACAATGAGAGATGTAGTGGAAAGGCCGCGTAAATTTCGACCACCTGGTGTTCTTTAACCTGTACCTAAATCAAAGTGCAAGGGCTTCAAGCATTTTTGTATTCATAGAAAATGCAGCTGTGGTGACGAGGATTAGATCCCGTAACCTTTGGGGTCGGTAATTGAGCACCATACATATTAGACCACTGTTGCAGGTCTCAGATCTATCTGGTCTATCTACATTGGCTCTATAATGTCGACTGCGTGCGCGTGGTTGCACGTGATGAACACTTCTGCTCTCAAGCTTAGTATCAACTTAAAAAGTGCTCACAAATCAAACACTCCTCACATATTTGTTTCTGTATTTATTATTTTTGCATTTTGTCCAGTTCTTCACACTGTGTTGATAGCGTGTGTCACGAGCGTACTGTGTCAATAATTGTAATCATAACGACACTAAGCCACCGCTGCTTACTAATGATAGTCATCTTGAAAATTGCATAACTTTACTGCCCATACTATTCCTCGTTATTGTTATACCACTTATAATCAGGCCCACTTTCAGAAGGTGGTCCTCATGAATCGGTGAGCCACGCTTTTCAAGTTATTTGTACTTGTAACATGATTATCTTTGTAAACATTGTACATTTTGAGTATAGCTCTTGGTTTCACATGTTCAGTTCGTTTCTGACTTTACTCTTCAAAATTCAGAATTTTTTTCTTGCTTTGTAAATATGGAAGTTGGCATCATTAGGTAAAACTAGTCAGAAAGCATTATAGTAGAGATAGGTAACAAATTTAGCTTCCTGTGTACATCTATCATATACAAATGACGAACTTCACTTTGCCATTAATAGTAGATACCACATCTTCCTGTGTTTTTCACTCTTGTTTCTTTCTTTTTCAGTGTATGAACAATATGTGCCATGTTATTGCTTTTTTTGTTTTTTTCTCCAATCACATAACCAACAAAGGAGGTTAGGAGGTTTTGTTGCAAAGCAAATATTCTTTCATTAAGATATCCACCCAACTTATTGTACCAACATGGGATGGTGCGCCACCTGTGGACAGCACAGTTAACTGCAAATGTAAGCATTCTAAGGGGGGCACAATCTAATGTTGAATTCCAATGGCGGAGTCGGTGCAGCCAACCGACTTCGCGAGCGAGCACTCGACTCTAGCGTAGAGCAAATCCTCCATATCCGCCATCGGAACACAACCCGCCCTGCTCGAGCAAAACCGAAGCTGCCGCGTTACCCAGGATACCTTGCGCGTGGTCTTTTCCGCTGTCTGTCTCCCACGTGGTTTACCAACATCGCCGCATCGTTTGTTTGCTTGTTCAGCCCTATTCACCGGTGTGGAATGGATATCACGCCAAGCGTGCAACAGTTATTGTCCACGATGTCTGCTGTCGCTATCGAGTAGCAGAAGCATTGCCGCACGCTTTGCCGAGGTAGCCAAGCCGTCCATGCCGTCCGCCATTATCAACACAACTCGCGCCTCCGCGCCAGCCGTGCCCCCAAGCAGGCAAACGTGTTAAAGGAAATGCGCCACGCTGAGTTCCGGTCCATTCCACCGATTTCGGCGGAGCAGTTTTTCCTGCTCCACAGAAGGGCTCCCGCTCTGAATCCTCTCCGGCTCTCTCATTGGAACTTTTGACTCTCGCTCTCACTCTGTCATTGGAACATACCTGCTCTGAAAGGAGCAGAAAAACTTGCTCCGACTCCGCCATTGGAATTCAACATAAATGACCACATATGTCGAAAATTCCAAAATCACCATTAAAGAGCATATTCAAGCTTGTTCACACAATCTTACCACCACTGCAAGGAGCACATGTATTTTACTGTCCTCACGTATTTGTAATTGCTTTGCAATGCTATGCCACTAGGCCATATGGGGTGTTCTGCTAAAATTTTGTTCGAAATTGTTGTACTAGCACAGTATAGTGCTGCCATCTGTGAGCAACGCTTTTAACAGATATTTAAAACCTTTCACATTTGAAATGCTATAGTTCAGTGACAGTCAAACAAATCGAAGCTCAGCTGCCAATAAACATTACAGATAAGTTGTTTTTTTTTGCAAATAACAAACAAGATTGTACAATCGTTTTCATGCACTGCAAAGATATACCCTTATCCTATGTTGATTCTATCCTTAACTGCAGGACAAGGGCCTCCTAGATGTCCTGCAGCAGCTCGAAGCCCTTGTGACAGGAAATATGACTACGGCCACACCAGGTGAAATCTGTTGTAGTAGTGTTGAGGGGGGTGCTGACACCCATTTTTCAAGCTGAGTGTACACTGTCATTCGATTGACTCTGAGCGACGGTCAAGCTCAGGAAATGCTGATGTTTTATTTTGACATTAATCCTTTTATGCCTGACTTATGAAACTGCCAAAGAAAATAAAAGTTATTTCCATTTTCCAGCTTTGAATAGTAACCTTTAAATGATTCTGCAATTAGTTTATCTAAAATGCAACTTTAATGCATACTTTTATGTATGTCACAAATTCTCCATATGCCACAAAAGCGAGGACCTTGCAACAGAAGACTTGCTTCAGAACTAAGTAACATTTCCTGTTTCATCTCATAGGTGCGTACACCCCAAATAAACAAAGTTATTCAGGATCGAACTAACGTCACCCAGGCGATAAAAAACCTTTTTCAATTTCGCCAATGACTTGTGTTCTAAAAAAAAAAAGAAGCAGTGTGTTTTGTTTTCTAATTTTTCTTTGCAATACATTTGCAGAGTTCGTACCATCATCGAACTTCGTTGCAATGCTGGCAATCGGTTGGCTCGCGGCGCAAGAGAATGCTCTGGAGATTCTGTTGCAGCGGACCATTTTTTCTGCTGGGACAGGTGTAACAAAGGTGAGAGATATTAAGGCATCTTGCATTAATTATTGACCTAAGGAGTAATGTTTAGATCGTACTGTTAAGTAGTAGATTGTGTATGGGTGCACCATAAGCGGAGCCGTACTTCGCAGCACAGAAACAAGAATAAAATGTTGCATCAACTGCTGCCCTTGAAAATATTGTAATATGCGCACTTCTAGTTTTTCTGTATAGTGTAAGAGAAATCAGACACAACGCCTGTTCGCTAGGCCGGCTGTTCTTATTCTGATTTCCTCTTTCTTTGCTTCGTTCCAACTGCCCATGCCCCAGGACCTCGATGTCGGTCTTCGTCATTACAGTTGGCCATCATTGAAGTGTGTGAAGTTCTAGTTGGTGTGGCTGGCTGCATCATGGTGGTCTGTCTTGGCCTTGCTGTGACATGGCTCGCGTATCTTCCATAAGCTTGTCTGGGGGGGGGGGGGGGGCATTGGCTATTTTCCTGTGGCCGTTACTGGCCATGTCATAGTGATCGCAGTTCTCGGATGTGCTGTGGTCTGGCTTGAAATGTTCTTGATGACGATGCCTCTGGTCTGTGGTGCTGACGGCGTCGTTGTGGTCGCATAACTGAGCTGGCCGCATGCAGTTTGCGGTCGCATGCAAGATCCAATTTTTGCTGCTTTTTCACATTCATGCCTCGAGTCTGTACATACTGACCGGAGGAAGGATGCAAATGAGCTCAGACCTGTCTGCACTCCCCGCCAAGATTGACACGGGTATCGAAAGCTACATCTGTTGTGGTGCTCCTCCCTCTGAACTTGTCAACGCCTAGTCTATCAGCGATGGATACCGAGTGAGAAACAGTTGGCCATCACTGAAGTGTGTGAAGTTCTGGTCGGTGTGGCTGGCTGCATCATGGTGGTCTGTCTTGGCCTTGCTGTGACATGGCTCGCGTATCTCCCATAAGCTTGTCTGGGGGGGGGGGGGGGGGGGGGGGGGCACTGGCTATTTTCCTGTGGCCGTTACTGGCCATGTCATAGTGATCGCAGTTCTCGGATGTGCTGTGGTCTGGCTTCAAATGCTCCCGATGACGATGCCTCTGGCCTGTGATGCTGACAGCGTCGTTGTGCTCGCATGATTGAGCTGGCCTCATGCACTTTGCGGTCGCATGCAAGATCCAATTTTTGCTGCCTTTTCACATTCATGCCTCGTGTCTGTACATACTGACCGGAAGAAGGATGCAAATGAGCTCGGACCTGTCTGCACTCCCCGCCAAGATTGACACGGGTATCGAAAGCTACATCTGTTGTGGTGCTCCTCCCTCTGAACTTGTCAACGCCTAGTCTATCAGCGATGGATACCGAGTGAGAAAGCTCTTTGTTGTGGTCCATGTGTCCTAGAGGGAAACATAGTGGCAATCCAAATTAAGTGGTTCTTCTGGTGAATGAGCTCACAGGCCAAAGCTAGCGAGTATCAGCTTCTTCGGGCTGGGGATTGTGGGTGGTATTTTTATCTGGTGGCGCGGGAGTCACTGAATCCAAAAGGTGGGGCATGAAGGCCTGCTCATGGCTGGTATCGGTGTTGAGCGTGTCTCCTTCCGCGTCTGCAATTTCGTCTGTGCAGTAATTCTGGGAAACAGATGGGCAAAGTACTTCCCCTTACAAACTCTTTCTTCGAAAGAGGGCTGTTTGGTGGAGGGTAAAGGTGCATCTTCGGGACGATGTGCACTGTGGAGGTGGTGAGTTGCATATGGCCAGAGGCATTGAAAAGCGGCCGAAATACTTACCGAAATACGGTTGACCTGGGACACCATTCTGGCCAAGATTTTTGTCTCTTGCCTTCGTAGTTGTGCCAGGCTATGGCAGCATTGCAAGGCGGTCAATGGCCACCAGTCATTTTTGATGGTCTGGCCAGGCATTGTGGGTGCCAAGAGTGTTTTCCGTTTAGATCCACGAGATGGCATCATCCTGGAATATATGGAACTCCAGTAGTTATGATGCAACCACTGATGTTAATGTGGGGTGTAAAGATCTAGAAGTTTACAAGGCAATACGACCTAGCTCCTGGCAAGCAAGGTCGTCACCTGCGTGATGTCAATGGGTAGGTCGGGTGAAGAGCCAGAGGAACCAGGGGTGGCGGCTGCGGAGATAGCATGGGCCCTGGTACTCACGCCGGCGGTTGAGGCCCTGCGGTTTGAAGGTGTCAAGCTCTAAAGTTGTTGGCCCAAGTAAGCAGCTTCGCTGACGATTTTCACAGCGCTGGTTGAGCTACCGAAGAACCCTTGCCGGTGGCAGTGGAATATTTTGTCAACGCAGCTATCAGCATGACAGTGTCATCAATCAGTGAAGTACCATTGGGTTACTGAGGAGGCCTGTACACCTTACCCGGACGGTGCTTGTAGTGGAGGCAGGGAAGCGGGTGATGTGGAGGCTTGGATGCCGTCCTTGCCATACGGTGCTTTCTGCGGTGCCCGGTTTGCAGTTTCCGTGCTCGAGGAAGCGAGGATGATGTTTCTGTACTGATATCTCTGCAAGGCCGAAGACGGACGAGCACAGGTGGTTTTTGCAGTAAGACTTGGCCGGCTGTTCTTATTCTGGCTTCCTCTTTCTCTGCTTCACAACAACTGTCCCCGTGCCAGAACCTGGATACGATCTTCGTCATTTCAATTGTCATATGATCCCTGTGACATTAGTTAAGAGTAGTACTCAGAGATAGTACTTTACATATTGTAACGGGTGCAAGAGAAGAAACGTCAAAAACTAGTTTATTATGGGCGAACTTGTGCCCTGAAAATTATGTGCGAAAAGATGGAAGAGTCCGCTAGAGCATTCCAAAACAAAAACTGTTCTTCTGCCAACGCACCTTCTTCTTCGCAGCTCCAACCCACACTGACTCGTGCCCGTGAACAAGAGGCATGAGTCGTGTGGCCCCAAGCAGGAGTGCGCACAAGACTGTGGACGCTGATTCTTCATAATGTCGGATAGCGTAAACAGTCTCTGTGGTATTAGTCCCCCTTCGAAATACGCATCGTCCCGATGCGCGATGGAGGGAGGCAAACAGAGAAAGGGAGCGTTTTCATTCCCTCTCATAATAGGGCTTCATACGAACGACGTGTACGACTTCTGCGCTGTTTTGCCGCTTTGAATGGATGTGTTCATCGGCGATGACTTCGTAGTTTAGGCCATTAATTCGTTGCAGAACTATATAGGGGCCTAAGTATTGACAAAGAAGCTTTTCTGATAGGCCGCGGCGTCGTAGTGGTGTCCATATCCACACTCGCTCGCCTGGGTTGTACTGAACTTTTCTGCGGCGCAGGTTGTAGTGGCTTGCGTCCTTGTTTTGTTGTGGATGTGTTCAGTGTCGTGCCAATTGGCGTGCTTCTTCAGCCCTTTGCAGAAACTCGTCAAGCTCAGATGGCTCGTAATTGTCGTTGTCTACTGGCAACATGGCATCGAGTGTCGTAGTGACAGTGTGATCGTAGACCAGCTGAAATGGTGTGACGCGGATGATCTCCTGCACGGCCGTATTGTAGGCGAAAGTTGCGTACGGCAAGGTTTCGTCCAACAATTAATGCTCAATGTCAACGTACATCGACAGCATGTCAGCGATGGTGCGGTTCAGGCGTTCTGTCAACCCGTTGGTTTGGGGATGGTATGCAGTAGTCTTCCTATGGCTGGTGTTAGTCATTGTCATTAAGGACTGCATCAAATCAGCCGAGAACGCTGCTCCTCGATCGGTAATCATGACGAGTGGGGCTCCATAGCGAAGAACAATATTCTGAACGAAAACCTTCGCGACTTCCGTTGCCGTTCCTCGCTCAAGGCAGCCAGTTTCAGCGTATCGCGTCAAATAGTCAGTCGTAACTATTATCCACCTTTTTCCTGATGCCGACATTGGAAACGGTCCGAGGAGGTCCATTCCAACCTGTTGAAATGGAGTCGCAGGTGGCTCTATAGGCTTCAGAAGGCCGGCCGTCTTGAGGGGTGGTGTTTTGCGCCTTTGACACTCGCGACATGTCTTGACGTAATGCTTCACGGACGCGAGCAACTTGGGCCAGTAGTATTTCTGATGAATTTCGGCGAAAGTTCGACTCGCGCCCATGTGACCCGCAGACGGTTCATCATGACAGGCTTCTAAGACTTCATGCCTCTTAGCTGATGGTACAACGAGTAAGAACTTCTTCAAAATTCCTCTTGTAAAGTGCATTATCTTGGAGACAGAATGAGGATAACCCTCTCTTAAATACGCGAGCAACTTGTTCGTCCTTCCCTTCGAGATACTTTATTAATGGAAGCAGTTCCATGTCAGCCCGTTGATGTTGGGTGATTTCTGAGGTTTTTATCACACAAAGGAGTGGGAAGTTCTCTTCTTCTGAAAGAGTCGAGTGGACTGGTGAACGTGATAAGCAGTCAGCATCATCATGCTTTCTGCCAGACCTATATACGACCGTAATGTCATACTCTTGGAGCCTGAGACTCCATCTCGCAAGCCGTCCCGATGGGTCTTTTAAGCTCGCCAACCAAAAGATTGAGTGGTGGTCGCTGACGGCACGGAATGACCTGCCATAAAGGTATGGCCTGAAATTGCTGATCGCCCATATGACTGCCAAGTACTCTTTTTCGGTTGCAGAGTAGTTTCTTTCCCCTTTTGAGAGGGTGCGGCTAATGTATGCTATCACTTTCTCTTCTCTATTTTGCCATTGCACCAGACCGCACCTAGGCCAAGATTGCAGGCATATGTATGAACTTCCGTATCTGCGGTTTCGTCAAAGTGGGCCAGGATAGATGGGACTTGCAAACGTTTCTTTAGTTCGTTGAATGCACTGTCTTGTTCGGTGCACCAAATAAATGGCACGTCCTCTTTAGTGATTCTTGTGAGTGGTTCGGCAATTTTCTCGAAATTTTTCACAAACCGTCTATAATAAGCACATAAACCCAAAAATCGGCGTACCTCCTTCTTGTTTTTTGGCTTGGGAAACAGCCCCTCAGCCACAGTCTTCTCCGGGTCCGGGCCAACACCTTGAGCGCTGATTACATGACCGTGGAAACGAAGCTTCTCGAAATTAAACTTGCATTCTTCCGATTTAGTCGTCAAGCTGGCTGACTGGATAGCCTGGAGTACCGAACGTAGTCGCTCTACATGCTGTTCAAACGTTGCTGAAAACACCACAACGTCGTCCAGGTAGACTAAGCACGACTGCCATTTGAGGCCTGAAAGGACGCTGTCCATCATGCGCTGGAATGTTGCAGGCGCCTAACAGAGGCCGAATGGGAGTGCTTTAAACTGTATAGACCATCCGGGGTTACGAAAGCAGTCTTTTCACGGTCCCTTTCGTCCACTTCAATTTGCCAATAACCGCTTTTTAAATCCAATGATGAAAAATACCTTGTGTGCCGTAGCCGATCCAACGTATCATCAATACGCGGCAAAGGGTAGACATCCCGCTTGGTCACGCTGTTCAGCTTTCTGTAATCAATGCAGAATCTCAGCGTGTTGTCCTTTTTCCTCACAAGGACTATAGGCGACGCCCACGGACTGTATGACATCATCCTCTAGCATCTCTTTTATTTGGCTCTTTATGATCTCACGTTCCTTCGGTGATACTCTGTACGGATTTTGGTGTACCGGCCTTGTAGATTCATCTGTTATTATTCGGTGTTTAACAACCTGGGTCCGCCGTACTTTTGACGAGGTAGAGAAACATCCGGTGAAGTATCTTAGGAGGTCTTGAATGATTTTCTTCTCAGCTTGTGATAGATTTTGGCTGATTGCAACTCTTGCCACGACATCGGGCGCAGGTTCTGAAGTAGGTGGCCCTGACACCAGACCACATAAGTCCTTCACTGTTTGAAAACCGTGCAGGAAGGCGATAGCAGTATGCTTTGCAACATGCTGAATTTCGTTTCCAAAATTCGTGAGCAATACATCGGAACACCCACCACGTAATTGAATAATGCCTCAAACTACACAAATGCTTTTCTTGAGCAGTAGTTAGATGTTCGCATCCGCTATACCTTCAGAATCAACGAATGCTTCATATCTTACACCGACTATTACGCTGCATCGTGGCGGCACGGTAACATCACAATCTATAACACGTATTGCAGTGTATTCTGGCTCATTTGTGTCTATGGCCAGTTTGGTCGAAAAAGAGACACTAGAATTCTGCAGGTTGATTATAGCTCTGTTTCCTAGCAGAAAATCCATTCCGAGTACTAAATCTCTAGAGCGTTCCGGAAGTACAACAAAGTCAGCAACGTAAGTAGCGCCTTGAATTACGATTCTTGCGGTACATCTTCCCAGAGGTGTGATGAGATGACCCCCAGTCGTGTGTATCTGGGGTCCACTCCAAGGCGTCGGGACTTTCTTTAAATCTTTTGCGGCAGCAAAACTGACAACCGAATAATCAGCACCTGTGTCAACTAAAACAGTAAATTCACGCCCATCTACGGTAACACGTAAGTATGAAGAAATTTCGTCTTTACCTAAACTAGTTGTAGTGTTCCGCTCGTCGTTGCTGCACTGGGACCTTGACGGAGGATCTTCAGTTGGTCGAACATCAGCGCCTTGCCTCCATGAATCGCTGGCTTCAGTTTTCCTGATGGGGACTGCTTGAACGACGGTGTGTTGAGGTTGAAGGTGGGGAAGGTGAACTAAATCGTCGAGGGCTTGGTGATCGATCGCGAGTATGCGCTGGTGATCTAGGCTGATGCTGGAAACCAGCAGTTGGAAACGGATGGCCGGATAAGTAATCTTTGATTTCAACGGGTCTTTCGCCATTTCGGGGGCATGGCGCGTTTGGAGAAAACCCATGAAGACCAACTCCTCGATACGGGCACATTCTGTACAGGTGTCCAGCTTTGCCGCAGTAAAAACAGAGAGGCGTCCTGTCAAGTGTGCGGCACACGTCGCTTTTTCGTGGCCTCAAATTAGCTGGATAGTTTGAGCCACGCGAAGCCGGTCGGTAGCCACTGGGAGCTGCAAACGAAGCAGTATGCATGGCGGGCTGGTGCATGGCATCGGCGTAAGTCGGTACGGGGTGTTCCTGCAATTGCTGTTCAAGTCGAACAGGTTGCGCCTCGGGTTCGGCTTGAAGAATGGCGTGGCGAACTTCATCTCTGATCAAGGTAGTCAGAGACGAAACTGGCGTTGCGACTTGTCGAGGCAGCAGCTTCTGGAGCTCTTCCTTCACAATGGATTTCCCTCAATGCTTCGCTGCTGCTTCCCAGGTTTGCTGAGAGGACATCCGCAGGAACACTACTCGTATCATGATTGTAGTGACGGGAGCGCTGCGCCAATGCCCGCTCTAGGAGGTGCCTTCGCTGCGGAATTCAGCAACTGTACGAGGTGGGTTGCGTACCAAATCGGCAAATAACTACTGTTTGACACCTCGCATAAAGTGACGCAGCTTTTTCTCTTCGTTCATGTTCGGGTCAGCGTGTTTGAAATGGCGGGACATGTCCTCAATATACATGCCAACGCTTTCGTTCGTGCGCTGGTTTCTGGACTGTAGAGCGTTCTCCGCCTTCTCCCGACGATCGGTGCTGGCATATGTAGCTACAATTTGTCGTCGGAATTCTTCCCATGTCGGTATGAACGCTTCGTGGTCTTCATACTACGTCTTCGCAACCCGCTCGAAGTGTCCTTACCAATCCTCCACATCCTCGAACGTGTCGCCGTAGAAGGGCTCAGGCGAGCACGGTGGGGACAGAATAAGTTCCGATGATGTCACTTGGTAAGCCATCGTTCCATTGTCTGTGGACGCTGCTTGTGTTCCTGGAGCACTGGGGAGGGGTGCGAATTCAGGCGGCTCTCTTCGGAGGCGGCGGCTTGAACGCTGGTGTACCGGAGTCAGTTCGCCAGGTTCCAGTCGTTGAGGATCGGGGCTTCGCTCTCTTGTGCCAAGGGGGCTTCCAATCATACCCAGCACCTCCACCAGAATGTAACCGGTGCAAGAGAAGAAATGTCAAAAACTAGTTTATTATGGGCGAACTTGTGCCCTGAAAATTATGTGCGAAAAGATGGAAGAGTCCTCTAGAGCATTCCAAAACAAAAACTGTTCATCTGCCAACGCACCTTGTTCTTCTTCGCAGCTCTAACCCACACTGACTCGTGCCCGTGAACAAGAGGCATCAGTCGTGCGGCCCCAAGCAGAAGTGCACACAAGACTGTGGACGCTGATTCTTTATAATGTCGGATAGCGTAAACAGTCTGTGTGGCAATATGTAGAGTTCTGACGTACAGTACTCACGAGCCATATACCTACTCATAGGTATATGGCCCATGTATAGTAACTTGGGTTTTACCTTGGGTACGGAAGGGCTTGTACTTGTGGGTAGTACTTACTGGTACGGATATTACTTACAGGCAGCTCTCATTGGTGATACTTACGTGTAGTGCTTATGTGTTGCCTTTCAGCACTAGTTTATGCAAATTGAGTACTTACATACGACTAAGAAACTTCAAAGCAGGCTAATGACTGCATGTGGAGTAATGAATAAAATTTGAGTGACATAAAATTAAGAAACTTTAAGACATCCGTATGAATGAACCAACTATGTATATGGTCTTGCACTGAACTGCACACCAAGGCACTTGAGATCATTGTTATAGTAGTATGGTATAACATAGTATAGTATAGTGTAGATTGTAGTTTTGTGTCGGGTCATGCTGTGATGTGTCACGTATTGTGCTGTGTCACGTCAGCTTTTAACATATCACTGTACTATCTTACGTAAAACTACGATCTATAATATATTACACTATTGTTTTATTTATTTATTGAGTGAGTAAATAAAATAGTAGTATAGTTTAGTATAAATCATAGTTTTGTGTCAGGTTGTGCTGTGATGTGTAAATAGATAATATACACTCAAACCTCGATATAATGAACCCGTTTAGTATGAATTATCGGATATAATGAAGTGAGTGAAAGATAGTCTTGCGACAGGTATAGTCTCAAGAAGTTAACATCATAAGGAATTTTCGAATATAATGAACTTATTTTTGTGTATGATGCCACTTTGTTAAAATGAGGTTAGAGTTAGTAGTATAGTATACTATAGGTCATGGCTTTGTGTCGGGTCGTGCTGTGATATCTCCCATCTTTTCGTACTCTGTCACACGGGCTTGTGCTGTTTCATGTCATCTAGTGCTGTTGCGTCATGTTTTGATCTACCCCACGGTACTTGATTGTGTCCAGTTGCATTCTGCATTATATCCTGTTGTGTCGTATATTTCATGCACTTTGTGTCACGTTCCTATTGTTTTTTGTCGGATCATGATGTCTGATGTGCTGTGTTCTCTAATTGCATTCTTTAATGTAAAAATGGCATTCCTACCTGTTGCATTGCAGAAGCAAGACTGCCAGCAGCAGCTGCAGCCTGTCTGTGCCAACGAAAAAGCCTTGTATCCCGCCTGGTCACACCTACGCCTCAGCTTCAGGTGCCTTGCGGCTGTCATGCAACAGCATGCATCTCTACTGCACCGGGTCAGTGTATGGCTTGTATGTTACGCATGCGTGACAAAAGCTCAGGAAAAGAGGGAAACTTGAAGACATAAAAAAATTTGGGGGACTTTTAGGCTTCGCCTATAGGAGTTGAATGCGAAAGTGATAACCTGTGCCTATTGTGTACTTCAAACACTTGGCGCATGAAATCTGTTCTAACTTGCTATGCCCGCTCTGCTTGGCCCTAAGGAAATAGGCACAGTAACGTGTGTGCCTTTTGTAGTGGGTGACTGGCTTTAAACCGTGAAGTCACATGTTCTGACGTCCGATCGCAATGTACTCTTGTCCAACTGTTATTACGGCAATATTTCGTGTTGTATTGTCAGTCATGTATACAGGACACGTGTCTGTAAAGCATGAAAGTTACTTTTGCTGCATTTCGAAGCATAGGCAGATATTTTCACTGTATTTGCAAATACATGCATGGCTGTGTGGTAGAACACCCCCTTGCTTTGCAAACGACCTGGGTTCAATCCCGACGCGGACCCTGAATTTTTCATTGATTTATTTGCATCTTTCCTGATTTTTCGTTTACGCACAAGATGATGATTTTTCACTTACAACGAATGGCACTGACGCCCACATTGGAAGTTTTGTGAAACGAGCTCTTTAACGCTATCGCGTTAAAACTGATGAACACTGGGCTGTGGAGCTGACGTTTCAACAAGCGGACTTGTCTTCTTCAAGGCTGAGGCGTTCAAGAAGACACGTTCACTTGTCAAAACGTTTGTTCTAGGGACATCCTGTATTCACTAATTTTTCGTCCCTGCATACTTGACGTGCTGAATATTTTTTCTGATTTCGAGAGGTTTCAGGTCAGATTACAGAAACTGGTGTGAATTCAAAGTAATAACTCTCATTTGCAAGTTCAATTCTGCATAGTTGCATCTTTGAGAAACGTTTGAAGAAACAACAAAGGCTTCAGACAGCATGCCTCATTAACTAATGCAAATACCAATTATGACTTGCTATCAGAATTAAGGCTTATTTACATTACGAGCTAATTGAAAATAGGTAACGAAAAGAACAATTGTACTAAAAAGACATACGGTATGTCTTTTTAGTTTGATTTTCATTTTTATACTGCCTAGTTTCTCTGCCTTTCCTCTCTGGCGGCTACACCTGCATATTTGGTGTTACCAACCATTAAAATCATAGCTGAAAATTGCGCTTGTCCTGTGTTCTTAGTTTGTTTACGTGTCTTTTGCGCTTACAGAAACTAGATATTCTCTGATTTGGTGAGAACTTCTAAAAGAATGATTAAAACACCCTCAACATTATAGGTTTCAAGGCACAGTTTGGTGACAAGAAACAGACTGGTTTATTGAACATACTTCCCGAAAAAGGACTTTAAATAAGGAAGCTCCTCTTGGGATCCAGAATTGCCTAGAGAAATTGGTCTTTGGAAGTGGTATTCAGGGATTCTGCCATTGCTGATAACTTCACCGATTGTTATACGTCCGGGGTCATTGTCCTAGCCATAACAGCCCTTTACAAAACATCAGCTACTGATGGTGTTTTGTTTTTGCTCTTTTCCTCATTTCTAATTTGCATAGCCTTACAAGTTTCTAAAAGCTTTTCTTAGCTCGAAAGTTTGGTCTCTGCCTGCAGCAAGTTATCTTTTCGCCCACTTTTCCGTCTTCACGCTTATGTAACAGTCACACTACTAATGGCGTTCCTTGTACTTTCCGTGGCAACATTGTCTGTTAGTTTTCATTAATATTGTTTTTTAGCTTTGACACACACTTACGATCATTTTTGTCTTCTGAAAAGTAGACTGTTTTGTAAGTGCAACAAGGGGCAAATGTGACTTCGGGAACTTGTCAATCTTTAGAAAGGTCGAAATAAGAAAAATGCTCTTTCTCTGTCGTTCATACAAGAACCTCAAAGCCCTAAATCTTTTTGTTCTAGGAAAGCTGGAACCACACAATTACATAATCTTATTGCATTATTTGATATCTGCAGTATCAATGTAGTGAGGTTTTTTATTAAGCAGATAGAAAGAGCACGTTGCGTCAGAAACGTCAATGCTCTTAATAAAAATGGCGAGGCTTTTTCCTGCTTTTCACTTTATGAAGAAACACACGAAAATAGACACGCAACAAGGATGCTATACGGGAACACAACGCGATACAACACAGAAAGAAAGCTCTCGAAAAGCAACACCCATGCTGATTCCTACCTTGAGGTCATCTCACCGGTAAGTGCTCGGAGCTTATGCGGGGCTCGTCTGCGCAGAAGAAGCATAACGAGGGAATGTCGGCATAGCGACTATTCGGCGCAGAGCAGGGCCACGTTCAGGTGTATGCACGACGAAGCAGGTAGGGGCCGAAGACAAAGCCGGCAAAGTTGGGCAGTCTTCTCCTTTGATGCGCCGACCAGTGACTATAGCCAAGCACTCGTGCCTACATTCGACAGTTGACCTAGTGGCTGCGGTAACTTCCCGCTGGCTCCATGAACCGTCGAAGCTTTAGGTCAAGTGAAGCAGGTCGCTTCGACTCTTGATCTATGCCAGGCACTTGGGACAAACCACGATTGTGACGCTGGCGAACCGCCTCCACCCTGCTTCATCCCCAACGAACACCACCTTGCGAACTGTGTCGCACTCCTTGGATAGACTCTTCGACCTTTCATGACCGAAAGCCCTTAGAAGGAGAAGACCAAAAAAAAAAAAAGCAACGAAGTATAAACAACGGTTGGTACTGCGTGAGCGCGCGCACCTAAAAGGGAAGCATGAGGCGGGGGACCCGAACGGCGATTGGCGCGGGAGCAGCTACGAGCTGTGATTGTTGACGTGGGCTTGGCAGGAGAAGCTCGCATCGCCAGCAAGAGCACTGGCGGCGGGAGCAGCAGGACATCGACTCTGTGACGAGGGCATCCCGAGAGGCAGACGGAGACCTCAACCTGCTTCGAGGGAGGCTGCTCCGGATGCAGCAGCCATGCACAGCAAGCACCGATATTCCTGGCGCCAGCCCCCGAAAGCAGTCTTCAAGCTGCCGAAAGCAGTCTTCAAGGGCCACCCATGGTCCCTAGGCCCAACCACCGAGGCATCCACCATGTCACCAACATCAGGCAATGACGGCGACAAGTGACCATATCAGCAGTGGCAGGGACGGCGACGTTCGTCGAGAGCATCGAGAACCTTGAGAGTGACGCAGCATGGCCTATCCCGGACTTGACTAGCCTCGAATCGGCTTGGTCAAGTAAAGTCGGCATGAATCGTAAAGCTATAGTTACCTGACGATGATTAGGACAGTTTAGAATGTGAAGGGATTTGTTGGGAGATATACTCTGAGAGCTATTACTGTTTGTGCTGTACATTTTTGAATGTATTGTAAAAGTACCGTGAGTGCTTAATAAATGGGTTTTGTTGTTAACGGAGTGATGTCTCAGTTCATCGCCCGCAGCAGCAGCCAGTAATTTATGACAGCCTCCCCTTGGAGCTCACTGGGTTGCCACGTCAACAAGTGATTGGCCCCTGCAACCTTCTTGGTAATTGCTGATGGGCCCACTTTTACCTTGTTGACGTAGCACCCTCGTGTGTATGTTCATCATCGTTGTCTTCACTTGGTTTCTGTTTGTGTGTGCGCTGCTTGTCTTCTTACTTTCGGTGTCACGCACTTTTCGAAGGCACTCACTTACCGTGTGCACTGTACTCATCACAATCAAATACATAGATTTTGCTGAATGAAATTATATTTCAACAGAGTCTATGCGATCACTTCACTAAAAATGTGATCAAATACAGTTTTTACGATTAATTCATTTAAAAAGAATTGTATGGTCTACACAAAAACTGGGATAATATTTGATGTAGGTACCTGAAAGTAAATTATTATGAGTAAAGTAATTATTATTATTAAATTATGAGGTTTTCAAAATCCCAACCTAAATAATAAAGGGTCTTATGTTTTATTCTTTTGCTACCAAAAGAAAGAAAAAAAAAACTTGGCAAATTCATTGGAACATTTTTTCCCCCCATTCACAGAAGCTTTCTTTCCCTCAATGATATGGTACCATTTGTTCAATTCGGTGCCATTCCTTTACGTCACTAATAGCATAGAAAGTTATATTGAAGGTGGCTTCATTGCATGGCAATAGAATAAAAAAATGGCAATAATATGAAAGTCTGGAAAAAAATGTTTAGAATGAACAAGTGTGGTCATCTAGTGTCAAGAAACGCAAGTATGGTTTGTATAGTCGTCATTGGTTTCGTGTGAAACCAGTTTTTGTTGATGACTCTCATAGTCTTCATCAGTCATCTTGTTAGCAAATCTTATGACTATACTTATCAACGGTCATGAAAGGGTTGAAAAATGTAATGCCTCTTCCCTGCCCACTGCGTAGTTTGACAGTAATGAAAAATGAATGAACATAGACTCTTTAGTTACTTAAGGGTATCGCTTGCACCTTACAGGCACAGCAGTGGCTTCCCAGAGGCAAAGAGCAGCAGCGTGCCCTGAAGGCTTACCTCCATTGGAAGAAGGAAGAACAGCACTTGCTCTGGCAGGCATTGCTGGTAAGCCTTCGTCTTCCAGTCGACAGGGGATGGGGAGTCATCTCCATGCAGTCACACACCAGAAAGCTTTAGGGTGTCCAGTCTCTTTTAAGGTGTAACACGTTTGCATTCACAGATACCGAAACACCATACACTGGCAGGGACATGCAGGGCTGTAACTGAGGGGGAGTGGAGGGGGTTGTGACACCCCTGCGATTTTTTTCATGCGTTAACTTTGCGTGTGTCACACGTCTTCACATTAACCACCGGTTGCCAAAGTTAGCAATTCAACGCATAAACATCCCCCGAAACGAATTCCCGGCTGCGGCCCCGAAGACGTGTCGTGACACTTAAAACTTGATTACACAGACACATTTTCGTGTCTTGTGTTCTTGGTGCCCATACTGTACCACGAAATATGGAATGTTGTTCTGTATTAATATTCTGTACTTGTATATTGAATAGGATTCCCTAATTAAAAGGGCTCATGGAGTGCTTTTTATTGGCCTTTTCGAAACGAGTCGGGTTTTCTTGCTTGTGCAGTTCGAAGTTTGATGGCGCAAAGGGAGCAAACGGAATATTACTCTGTATGAACCCGATCGATGGATAAGCACTAAAATGGCAATGTGCCTGTGGGCTGTCACTTCACAGCATCTTGGTGCTTGTCTAGTTGATCTCTTTGCCACGAGGGGAAGCCCAAGTGCTTACGCTTTTGCCTCCGGTAACTCTCCGATTCTCAAAAATCAAGCGCTTAGTAAACAAACTGAAGCTCTCGATTGACACCTGTCATATAGTTACACTAACGTGCATGAAAAGGTACCCCGTATACAGTTTCGACAACTTTAACCCTTTAAATGGTTTGGACGAGTAGAGCTCGTCCTAGTGGAATACGTACTTTCCTGTTGTGTTCAGGATGAGAAGCACCCTTCTATGGCTTAGATTGCATGTCATTCACTATATGGCAGCACTTACTCAATGATTGAGTTTTTCTTGTAGAAGGAGTGTGCTTTTTGTTTAATAAAATGCCGTGCAGTGGCGGCGACCCATGCATAGCTGGCCCATCAACACGACAAAGAGGCTTCTTCGAGTGATGGTGATTTGAATACAAATGTTTATATTTTGCCTAGACAGCAATGACGATGAATTGAGCAGCTCCACCGGTCGTGATGAAGACAGCTTGGAAGCGAGTACCGAGAGTTCTCAGCAGTGAAGCTGCTTTGCGTTAAGCTGTTTTGAGATTTTCCACACCAAAACTTTCCGAAGCTTCCCGAGTGAAATAGCCCAACGGTGCTTAGCCTACACAAGTGAGGAAAGATGTGACGTCTTCAACTGTTCTTTATATGTGGTGTTTATTTTTATTAGCAGCTGGTAGCTTGCTTTTTGTGTATTTTTGAGAAGTAAATTTTATTGTGTTGGTTTTACTGAGAATGTGGCATAAATGTTTTTTCAACATCCACTAGCTGCATTTTAGTACAATCAGATTCGAAATCGGCAATAAAAGAAATAGCCACTTTTGGTTAAGAAACTTTGAAAAAATATTGAGCACTTAGGGAATTAACTAGTACAGCCAAAGCAATTGCTCGCATCAGCTAGCCAGGATAAAGAACCAAATTGAATGCTCCCTGTTGTTTAAGCCTGATCTGGGTACTTGGGCACTGTGTTTTGTTTAAGTTTATTTGCGACTGGGTGCGGGGCAGTAATTTTTGAGGTGGGCGGCTGCCTTCCCACACCCTTTTGGCTGGTGTCGCCGCTGGCCTTCGTGTTTTGAAATCCATGGCCCACGCTTGATGCTGATTCGCTGATGCGAGCCCTACAGACTTAGTCTCAGGGCTTTCAGCTAGGGAGGCTGTGTGTGGAATGTTGGAGCTGAAATAGTTTTTGCATTTTGTAGTGTTGGCCATGAACCTTATGTGATAAAAAAAAATAGACTTGCTTAGCTTTTATAATGGCCGCTTGAAGGCAGAGTTTACGCTGTCGCTATAGACTGATTCTTGTTCACGTGAAAAGAAACACAAGTTTGTCGGTAATTTTTTAATTTTTGTGTTCAAACTCTTTGGTGTCGTGATAACATGACTGAAGTTAATGTACCGAATTTAGCATTTCCTTTCTTCTATCTTATCTAGTTCTGTTCTGATAGACCATTACAAATGGAAGTACCCACTTATAAAATATTCTTGCTCTAGCAACCTATGATGCCAGAAAGCCACTGCTTGGTTTTAGAACAGCTGTTCTTTGCATATACCTGATCTGGTGCAAAACTTGGGCATTGCAAGTTTAACCCCTTCCCCTTGCTCGTCCTTGCCGAACTGTTCCAAGCTATTTTGGATGACGAAAGGCACTTTGGTCACCAGAATAACTAAAGTTGTCATACTAATGGAACGATTCTCGGAATGCTGAACATTTTTAACAGCATTCTTGTTCTTGTTCTGTTCTTCATTGTGAATGTGTAGCTAGCGTTTTCATAGAGTATTTATTGATAAAAATCATTAAACTATTTTGACTTCAAGTAAGCTTTAATATTTTTTTTTAGACAACAGCAAGATTTTACTTTTGAGAAGAGAATTATTCAATATTAAAGTAGCCAGAAACCGTTTCAAAGAGGAGACTTATCACAACAACAATACAGTCAAGATGTTAAAGTACCTAGGAGACGAGCAGCCATCTCTGAAGGCTCAAGTCGAAGCTTGTGATTGTGACACTCGTAATTATCATTTTTTGAGGACACGAGTGCGAGCGCATGCAGTGGAACTGCTCGTATTTGCGCTTATCTCTCTTATCGCCGACTGAGGAAACAAAGGATGTCCGTTATCAGCCGTGGCGTCCAAACATTGCATGTCGACAGGGCTTCTCAGCTCTGACAGTGTTTATCAAGCGCAATCACTGGGAGATAACGAGCATCACTCATGAGGGTGGGTGTGAGGTGTCAAGTCTTAGTGAAGCCAACAACCCAGCGGTACTGATATTGCTGGTATCAGCTACTGAATCAGCTTCTGGCCTCAACGCAGCATTGAACCTGAATCAGGAATCGAAAGCTTCTGTCTCGTACTTGGAGAAAAAACTTCGGTGTAGCAAACATAATTTTTTGTGCGAAATAGTTCTGGAAGTGTTCCGTGTTCCCTTGACAGTAGGTAAACATTGAATACGGTTTTTCATCGTCGTCTGCTTATCTGCTTCCTTGCCGTGTGCCATGCAGTCGTCGTGCGGTTGTCCAGTCGCGTTTTCATTTACCGTGTTGTCAGGTCACTTCCCAATCCTGTTTCACCTGACCTAATCCTCCAATATGGCCAAGAAAAATAAACTTCACTGACTGCCGTCGAGCACTAAACCTATCACACACTGCACCATTGGAAACTTGGTACACTGACAACATTCTTCCTGTCATAATCGCATCTTTTTTTTTTAAAATTTTTGGTGCCACATGAACCCAGATGTGATTTAACAAGGTTTGTTGAGCTGGTTAGTGCATAGTTGTCGACTGTAGAAGTGCCAATGAAAAATTAAAAAATTGCCGATCTCGCGAAATGAGCAACATTAACATGTTTGCATGAAATAGAAATAGTTGCGAAATTTCGCACCCTACATTTCTTTTCATAACCATTGCGACCATCGTTAGTGATATGATGTGTACATATTGTGGAGGGCACTGCAAAAAAGTTGTTTTGAGGAGACAAAACAGCTAATTGCAGAGAAAGCAAGCAACATAACATCTGCTGTGAGAGCCTGCTAAGTCAAGAGTCAAAGAAATCACTGATATATGCCGGTACGTTCATTTTATATGCCTTGTATGCAGAATGGTGCACTAATAAGTGTGTTGTTGGAACGCATTGGCTCATTGGTCGTAAATGCATCTGATGATCAGCCAATTTGACTTCATCGAGTAAAATTGTGTTCTGAATCTTGCTTATAGTACTGCATTAAAGAAAGCAGTATGGTAGGCTTGTAAACCTGCCTGTTTGAAGTTTGCAAACAACTTGAAATGTTATGAAATGTCATCACACTGTTTGCACAGCAATGCATCTTGGCTGGTTGGCAGTACTGTATACAGTCGTGCGTAACGCAACCATGATTGTAAAACGAGGAGTGACTTCCACGAAGACAAAAAAAAAAAAAAGGACTTGTGTGCATCATTTCACTTTTTAAACTACAATTTAGCTATTCGATTGTAATGCGAGGGTTGGCTTCAGGTAGCAAAAAGCAGGAAGAAAACACGTTTTACATTCGAGTAAGTACGGTACCTTGCTCTCAAGCGTGCGGTACGAAAAGCTGTAATGTTGTCATTATCGAAAAAATTCTTATGTGGTGAAACTTCATAATATTGAAGATACATCTTGTGCGAAGATAGCTTTGTTGTACTCATAACAAAAATAAGAGCTTTTATATTTAGAGTTTAATACATTGTAAGTACTCAATGGCAGTGCACGTTCTGGGTCATTGAAATCATGCATTTAATATTCCATTCCTGTGGCAGTAATAACTAAAGTTATTCAAAGGAAATGTATACTTGTGCAGGTGGAATGGCTTTTCTGTAGAAATCTAGTGCATGGACAAGTCGAAGAGGTGTGCACATACTAAGACGTATAGTCTCTGCGATATGGCGTATGGAAATGGCTTCGGGGATGAGGTTTATGAAGCTCCTTACCATTACAATACATTATGATGCAGTTTTCATGTTATGTAAGCTTTATGTTTGACATTACATTTCTGCGGCAATAGCAACTTCAGGGAATATAAGGAAATAGCCACTGTATTGAATTCTAGACTACGAAAGAATGCGAAAGGCATAAGTACAAAGGCATTTGACCTTGGAGCATGCAAAGTGCCTTGAAGATATTTTCAAAAATTTACTGCCATTGAAATACAGTAACTATAACTCTAAAGAATAAGGCTAGTTATAGTTTATACCATTTTGCACAAATTTGTAACAGAGCATGTCGAGCATTTCAGTGAGCACACTAACAACTTGCAAGTGCTCTATTTGGATAGTGCTTAAATACTAGAGTATTTTGGGATTTAAGTGTCAG